CTTCAACCTTGCATGGTAGCTGACCCAGAAATAAATAGGCCCAGCTTTCAGAAAGCATTGCTTTCAAACTGGCACATAACGTTTTGTACATACATAGCCATGGAACTTTCATATAATGCCCAGTTTGGGTCATAGGTTAAAAATAAAGATGAGTTAGTCAAGGTTGGCATGGTTTCTCTTACAAAAGTATCTGGAGTTAAGAGAAGTGGGAGCCCTGAGCCACTCTAACATGTTAAAATGTGTTACCAGCCCCCTCCCCTCTGTAAAGATGTGGAGTGAAGTGATATGGAGAAAATGGCATTTTAGGCAATAGAAAATAGTTCTCCTTTAAAACAAATTGATGATCATGAGTGCAATTTTTACTGGTGTCCCCAACACTTTAATTCACAGGGAATGGAAAACAATACCTTGACAAGGACCAACCATTGTTCATAATATATAAAAATATACATTATGGATTAATGTTGTATTTTCCTTTTGAAGAAGTATTTCTAAGATTCAGCCAATGCAAGAATTCTGTGTTACTCTAAAGTTTGCCTCCACATGGATAATTTACTGAACCTGTAAAATGTGTTCTAATGATTTGTTCATTGCTTCTTGCCTCTTGGATTTATACAAATTTAAGTTTGCTTTTTGAACAAAGCATCAGACTCCCCTGAGTAGTTGAACTAAAATATCATTGTACAACTGAACTTCATGAAATATTCAAGTTTTTGATATGGTGGGTCATTTAAAATGATACAATTTCCCATTAGCGTTCCTGATGTTCCATATCTAAACAATGTGGGGTACAAGGAATGGGCCTGGGGAACACAATGGGCAACAGAGTTTCAACCATCCCTCATTAATCATCACTTGGTAGGATCACAAAATACACTGGCAGGGATGGGGCAACAGACTTCTAGGGGAATTGTATTTATTCATTTATTATTGATTGATTGGATTAATTTGATTTATATGGCTGTCCAATTCACAAAGTGATTCTGGGTGACTTACAGTTTGTAGAAGCATAAAATATCCTAAGGAACTAAAAAAAAAAACAAAAAACCTCACAATAAACATTCGGGGGGGGGGAATCCAGAATAACAGAATCATAAAATAATCAAAGCCAACCAATGCATGTTCATTTTGAGACTTTCATTTTGGACAGCCTCATCCCACATTTTGCCCAATGCCTGGGGAAGAACCAGGTTTTCAGGGTCTTACAAAAAGGCCAGTAGGGTTTTTCAGAAAGCAGGAAAGTTGACAGAGAAAGAATGCCTCCAGAACCCCACAAAATGACATAGTTTAAGCGAAGGGATCCAGAGCACGCCCAACCTATCAGATCTTATAGGACAGGCAGAGTCAGTTGGAGAAGGGTGGTGGTCCCACAGATAATCAGGCCCCAAGCCATGTAGGGCTTTATAGATGACAACCAGCATTTTGAATTGCATCTAAAAACCCACTGGTAGCCAATACAGCTTGCAAAATAGAGGTGTCACATAAACACTTGCATTGTCAAATACAGCTTCCAAGTGGTTTATTTATCATTATTTTGTAGCAGTTCTGTAATTTTTTACAATTCTGCAATGTAGATCACTATCATACCCAAGAATTGAAGAAACCATGATACAGGTACATATCTATACATACATACACACAGTGAGAACAGAATGCCTGAGACTACCGAGTTCAAAACTAAGACATGTTTTTAAATATTCAGTAACTACTGAGTCACACTAACTTCTAGCTATTATGCCTACTTATTCTGTTGTCAGGCAAAGCACATCACAAAACACATCAACAAAATGAATTCATAAGAGCCCACAGGAGATGTCCTGATACAGTAATCAATGCCTAGTTTCAAAAATATTATTTTCCAGCTATCTAGCCAGGATAGAAAGGCAACCAGTTAAAGTGGAGCAAGGGCAGAGGCTAAAAGAATCTGGCACGTCACAGAGGCAGTACTACAATAGTTTTATTGTAACTTCCACTTCTTTGTTCCAAGTGGAAGATATAAATCGAGAAGGAAATATCTATTCATGGGATTTTCTAACAGAACTAGGTAAACCGTTTGGGGAAGCAGGGACATTTGAAAACTTAAGAACATAAAGTAGTAGAAGAACAAAAGTAGTATTCATTTTTTCATATTTCATAACCATTCATACCTATAACAATTTACTTATCTGCAGAAAGCAAGAAAAAGAATAAAAATTCTGATTCTGATACAGTTCAGTGATAAGAAGAGTTCAGACTTGAGAAGCGAGAACCACTAAGAATGAAATAAAAACTTCAATAACACTCAGACAAAAGAATTGCTGAACATAACCAGGATGGCATTACTGAGACATTCTAGAAAAGAGCATCTTCAAAAAGGGGGCTTCTGCCTGCAGTGTCTAGGAAATCTGTATGAGTATCTGGGACAACACCAAGGAAAAAGCAAGTTGCTAGTAGAATACCTGCAAACACCAATCATGCTGATGACTTCTCAAGAACACCAAAGAAACCATTGGTGTAAAATGCTTCACAGATGTTACACAACTCCATCAATAATTTCCATGAAACTAAGAAGAATGGTTTCCA